TATTATTATTATTATTATTATTATTATTATTATTATTATTATTATTATTATTAATAATAATATTATTATCATTGTTTTTGTTGTTGTTGTTGTTGTTTCGAACGCATCACTACCATCGACGAGAGAGATTTTATAGAGACTGAATGACAGAGACTGCTTGGGCGTGTACAAGTGCAATAGAAGTTGTGAGTGACTGTGTGTAAATAAAGAAGAGTCGTATGCTAATCGGCAAAAGTGTTATGTTATCATCTTGTGTGGAAATGCGGCGTGAGTTTTGTGTAGTAACGAACTAAAGATGAAGAGAAGGAAACAAAGAAACAGTGTCCAGGGGAGCGTAGGAAAGATGGTAAATGGAGGTATATAAAGTATATAAATAAGCGAAATGTGCGAGGCACACTAAAGTCTGTAAATAAACGATCGATAGTTTAACCGATAATTTAACGCAGATACGTACCTGTAAACATACGCAAAAAGTCTTCGCACTAGTTTTTTTCTTCTTTCTAATTATCACTTATCTTGGGAATACCAGACCCATAGATTACATATCGTTTGAAAGACACAGGTCCAGCGATACAAGCCGGGGTCTCCAAAAAAAAGGAAAGAAAGAAAAACCAATTCAATGTGGCATATAGTCTGTTCTCGCTCGTCGGTGATCGTAAGGCCAACGGATGCAGTGTTTCTCGATGAACGATTATTATTATTTCGCCGCCCGCGGCGACGGTAAAGTAGTCAGATTTTTCGTTTCGTAGTGCGAGAGCTTGCGAGTGAGAAAAAAATCCGGGAGCACACGCGGTGCCGAGCGCTGACCGTGCGATCCCCGGCCGGATCAAAGGAATCGCAACAGTCACGCGGTTACGTAGATGACAAATAAAGGTGAAATTATCGCCTGTCTAACTTTTCCGCTAACCAATGCTCGCGGACGCCTTTCGATTGAGATTGGCCTTAACTTCTTTTTGTTTTGCTGCTGGCAGATCTAGCGTTGCGTCTCGATTCAAGCTCTGCGCACTCAGCCAACAATTGACAATTAGGCCTCATTATTTTTGACGACAAAGATGCTCGATTTATTAAACGGAATTATATTTAGCAAGGACGGGACGAACGACTTATCCTCTAAGTAGTGCAGGATCATTCACTCTTTAATTTATACGTATATACTGCACAAGTGAAAAAAAAAATTAATCCCGATCGAAACGCGCGCGTTGATCTCTAAATATTATATATATATATATATATATATATATATATATATATATATTCGCAGAAGGAAGGAGAAAATGTGCGAGACTCGCGCTCTAATGTACGTAGAGTTTCGAGCGAACCCAGACTTCGCTCGCGGTGATATAACTTTCTAATGAATTTTGTATTAGGACGGTGTGATTTTATATGCATTAAACAAGACTTCAAGAGTTCCCGAAGACTTAAAGAATGCGAAACAAGTGACTTAGTGTGTAAAGTATCGCGTTACTTACTTTAGTATTTATTTTTGCAGCAAATGTTACTGCGCGTGTGAAAGTACGCTTCTTTAATTTTTCCTTTACTATATTTGTAAACCACCTCGAACGTGAACTCGAGCACCTGTTAAACTTTTTGATTTGTAAATTCTGTATAAATACCAGCGACTCTAGTACATAATAGATAAATGTTTACAAAAAATTAACGCACGCGCGAGCGAGCGAGCGCGCACACGCACACGCACACGCACACGCAAACACATACTGCGATTTCTTGTAAAACCGAGGTCACCGGCGTCGGTCGTTCTTTTTTACGTTTTTATGTTTGTACGCGCGTTCTATGATCGCAAGGGGGTAAAACGCTAATTTAAGAGAATTTTCGAGTTAAAATTTGGAAAGAATAAAGATTAAGAGCAAGCAGAAGACGAAGAAGAAGAAGATCGAGAAGAAATAGAAGAAGTTTAAAAAAAAAAATGAGAAGGAGATGAAGGAGAAACAAATGAAAGAGAAAATAAAAACTTCTATTGTGACGTTTAAGGACTTGGTCTTTATTTCTCATTCCATTCACGCGTGCAATAGCCCTTGCGACCCTCTTCCTAGTCTCTGTCCCTCTCTTTTTTCCCTTCTATGTTGCCGGCGAAACGCGACCGCATGAGCGCGGCTAAGGACGAAAACGACGGAAATGGGAACGAGACACTCGCGTACGCGACACAACAACATAGACGACGGGGACAACGAAAACGTCGACAATGGCGACTAGGACGAGGACACGGATGCCAGTCCAAGGGAAAGGAAGGGAATGGAAGGGGAATGTTCTGAAAAAGCGTACTGAATAGAAATCCGTTAACCTGCGTGGCATGGCTTCGCCGAGCGCACATGCGGGTACAGAATCACCGTGGACTCGTTCTATGCCTCCCTCTTGCTCCGGCCCCGGACTCACTTTTCTCGCCCACCCCCTACCTCATGCCACCCTCTTCTCCCTACAAGGATCGAGAGCTTTATAAGCTGGTATGCAAGCTACGGTATTTTAGCGGCCACTAGCTCGCCTCCACCAGTCTGCCCTCTCCCTCCTATCTCTCTCATCCACGTTGGCTGTATTCTCCTTCGTCGGGGATGCAGCTTAGCCGGACACCAATGACTAAAAAGGACGGGGACACGAAAGAGTCCACGAAAGAATTCCTTATCGAGACTCTCCCTTCCTTCTAATACAGAAACATCCTGCTCGTTATGGAGGTTATTTTTGATATGAAAACTCTTCGAGCACGGGCTCTTGTACTTTATCGGAGATTTCATACTTTTCATTTTTATTTAATTTTCCTTTTTCTATCGGAACTTCTATCCCTCCTCATCCCGCATCTTTCATCCTGCATATTCTTCGTTTCTCTATTTTTATACACATCCCCCAGCAACGTGCTAGTCTTATGCGTACGAGGTTCTTATGAGAAATAACTGGAATAACTGGGGTTCTTGGTCGAAGTGAACGTCGCACATTCAGCAATTGAATAATTTAACGAGGATTATGTAAATTTATTTTGCAAATTGTATTCGCATCTTATTATATTTTACAACGAATATATTACGGGAATTAAATGCCAACGTTTTCTTCTGATATCCATAAACAGAATGCCTAGGCTGCGTCAACGGCGATAGTAATCACATTGTGAAAAGAGTAAAGAACAATTCGGCTTGCCGTAAACTCGCTCGCTAGTTATATTTTACGTCAAATATATCTTGCCAATTTAGTTAGAAGCATCGGAGTAACCGATACCAGAGCTAACCGCTCTACGCAACAATTCCCAGACAATTGCAAATGTCAAATCTTCTAATTCCAGGTTCTTGCCTCGTTAGATAGAGAGCGCGACTCAATAATCAATTCCAAATCGCATTCGCGAAAGATAAATGAAAAGTATTCGGTGCCGTCCGGTGGTCTCTAAATTTATAATTAACAAATACTTGGCAATAAACATTATTGCTCACGGGTACTGTAATGCACGATATTAATTAGATCGCCTAATGAATAATCCATAAACATAAACGAATTTTTTGTTATTCATTGTTTCTTCACAATTTGTAATGCAAATTTTTTTTTAATGCTTCGAATACTGTATATCTTCAAAACAAGTACTTGAAACACTTCCAAGCACTCTTATATTTTCTTTTATACATACAATATCAAAAAACTCTACCAAATATCACTAGCATAATTAAAAGTATAATTGTTATTTCTCATATATATCTTTATATTATATATGGTTGTAATTTTTACTAATTGATACTTTTTTTCATTTGAATTATCCCATACTTCCTTCCTTTCAGCAATTAGAAAGTGCATAAACTTCTACGTAATAATTCAATTTATCTATATATTGTAGGAGCTTATTGAATGAAAATACCATCTACTTCCATTCAAGTTGGCATTCTCGAATTAATTGAAACGAAAGCCTTTAATGCCCATATCTTGCAATTAAAATAATGTTACAATTAATTTTTCTCTATATTGAAATTTATAAATTAAAATTATCACATTATTAAATTGATATATTTAATTTTCACATTATTTGAAAACAAACAAAAATGTAATTTTTCAAAATAAATTAGGATTATACAACGTATTTCAATTATCATTTTTCTTTTAATATTCAATCGGAATAGACCTTTTAATTACACAATTTTCTATTCTATCTACATTATCAATCTTTTTCGTTACTAAACATTTTGTTAGAAACGTAATTTTTAAACTTTTTTTTACCTGTGCAATTAATTTTTTACTACCCAACGACTGATACTTTGCTTATAGATAAACATTATTTAATCACATTTAACTTTTGCATTTCGTACAAAACGATCAAACGCCTAGTAAAGTCCAGCATATAGTTTAAAAAAAAAATAATGACAATGACAATTTAAAAAAAAATAATAATGCGTTACCGGCACATAGTAAAACGAACGTTTTTTTTATACATTGCTGATTTTTGCCTGAAAAAGTAGTGAAATTTTTTTAAATTTTGTAATTGTTCCTAAAATATTAAAAACACTCCATTTTGAAACATACAACCATTGTTATCGCTCACTATTGCCTTTCCCTTCCTATTGAATGATTAAAAAATTTATCCAAAAAAGACATATTGTAAATAATGTACCATTTTTGCATAGAACTGACCTTGTTATTATAAAATTCATTAGATACGAGTATTGAAATATAGTTTCACCAAAAACATTATTATACCAACACAATTTTTAAAATACGATTTAAAAACA